ATTAATAACTATATATTAAGTGTATTTCATCATCGATATATACTTCATATAATGATTAGACATATTAATCAGGAACATTTTGTTAAATGTTAGTCAACTTGTTTCATTAATGCTTCTTTTATGTGTTTAAATAGTTCTTCTGAATCATTCTGTAAATAATTGTATTTCAGTAAATACTTGTATTTAATCTACTTCATAATGTTACAATCATGTTGAATTTCCTACAAAAATTACATAGTATGTTAATGCAAATTTGACACCAATCAACAACTTTTATGTTTGTGCTGATGTATAATTCGCAAGTACATCACTAGAATAATGAAACTTATGGTAATCATTATTTAGAGTGTGCAATTATAGTTAAATGAGTACTACTGCTCAAAATACTTATTTTTTTCCTAAAAATAAATATTTAGTATAATTAATAATATCAGATATACTTGAATACAAAAATAAATTAATATTTTATTAAAATTAATACATAATAATTTTCAGCCTTGTATTGTTATTAAATATCGAAATTAACTCTAAATAATCATGTGATATATTTTCAGAAGCATCAGTTCATTATTTAACATATAAAGATACTAATTAAATTGATAGAACTAATTAATGTTAATTAAATGTTGTTTTGAATGAAGAAAACTTTGAAAACATATGTAAATCTTTTTTTAGAATGTTTAGGAAGTGCTGTATTGAATGCAAAGATATACAAAATTATAAATCTGAGAGACAATTCATTTATAATCTTGGTTACGTGAATGGTAATAACTATGATCATATTTCTTGTTACATTTACTTATCATATATTTATATTTTTTAATCAAAAGCATGTTATTAAAGAATTTTATAGAATGGAGCTTTATATTTAAAATGTATTCAAATAGTTAATTCCTTCATAAAGATTAAGATTTCTGGGTAAAATACAAAGATATGGCTAATAAATGCTTATTTAAGACTTTATTAGCCATATCTTTGTAGATCTTTAGCGTTTAAAGTTTGTGTATTAATTATTCGCAACAATATTTTATTCTTTACGATTTGCTTACTATTGGTGAATCCAGATTTAAAATACATAACAAATTTTGGCATATATTAGAATTTAGAATATCAAAGCAGATCATCTTCCATAACTTTATATAATATTTCTATTTTTTAGATAATTTTATTTATTCAACTAAAAAAATAAATTAGGAAGAAGAAAATCGAAGTAAGAAATTTAAACTCGAAGTCCTATTCATTTTATTTTGTTCAAACTTGAATTTGTTCAATAAATTATTGCTTCTGGATTTTCTTTCATTACAATTAAATCCTCGAGCTTAATTTTAGTTGTATTCACAGTAACTAAATTCAAAATTTAATAATTTATTATATGTTCCAGTCCATCCATCATAATTGGTAATCAATTTCTAATCAAATTAATATTAATACAATCTCCATTATAAGCATAATATTAGATAATTTTATATGCATCCAGGATATTTAAATAAACATTCTATTATACTGAGTTATAATTTTATCAATCCTCCACCAACAGAAAAATAAAATTTAATCCAGGCAGTTACTCTATAATGCAATTTAGGTCGAAAAGTAGTTACAAGGCATTTATAAGTATAAATGATTGATTATGTTGATGTTTAAATTTACATCATTTAATCATCGAGATAATTATTTATAAAATTAGTCGACGATTATAATAAGAACTCTGCATTTATTTAGATATGAGAGTGAGGTTCTAGATTTTACAATATTCTGCTATAAATTTAATTATATTATAATAAATTTAATTGAAATTGCACCATGCAACTTATTGACCACTCTAAAAAAATTAATGAATTATTCTAATTACCGTCTATATTGTTAGAACTGAAATATTATAGTTTGATGAGTTATAAAGGCTAAAGCAATTAAAATTATCTCAATCAACAACAGAAGTATATGCTCCAGAAGTACAAGTATTAAATAATTTGCATCCTATTTTATCCCTATAAATAATATATGAAGATAATCAAGTATGACAAATATCATAAAGAAGGTATAATTAATGAAGTCTGGCTGTTCAAGCTGTATATGTACAAGCCGATAACCATATTGTACAATTTATATGCTTAAATATAGTAACTTTGCTTCTATTTTAGTACTGTTCTAACACTCTTGTAGTTAATGCATCATTTATGCATTCATTTAACGAAGAAGAACATGTTGAATTATAAAAGTTAGTTACATTTGAACCATGATTAATACATTAAGTTCTATTAGTTATGCAATCACTAACTAAGAATAGCAATCAGAATGTGTGAATAAATGACAATTAACCCAATCAAAAAAATTATCAATAGTTGGTTAAAATTTTTCAAATACCATCTTTATAGTAGTTTGAGAGTATTAAACTATTTTATTTTATTTGCATGATATTCTTCCGAAATAATTTAAGAAATTTTTTAATAAATTTTTAAGTTTGATTTGTCATATTATTTAGAATTAATAGAGATAATAAAGAAATAATAATAAGAGAAATTAAATTAAAACAATATTCAATTTTATTAGAGAAAATTTAGATTATGAATTGCTAATTAAGATGCTGATAATACTAAGAATCTCCTTAGAGTTGGAATATAGAAATTTAATAAAATCCATAAAACACCAACCTATTATGCATATATTTATTATTCATAATAATTATAAAAATAAAAGTAACTTTAATTAGTAATGAGTTTGGAACTCAAATTTAAAAAAAAGAATGTAGCAATTATAAATATAATTCAAATTGCCTTCTAACTTAGTTAATGCTTAATTTAATGCGCTAATTTATATTACAAATTTTAAGAATGAGATAGATATTTAATGAACTAAACATTATTTAATCTAAGTCAGCGTCGAAAAAAAGTTACAATAAAATATTAACAATATTATCTAAAAAATTTAGAAATTATAATTAAAAATTTTCATTGAATTATCTTATATTTGTTTAACAGCTTTAAATACAAAAAAATAGTAATGCATGTGTTATCATTTTTGATGATCTTGAGATCATTAGGATACTTTTATATCTATGAAGAATTAAATATATATTTAATTGAGGGGTAATTTTTTACGGAATTTGATAAGAAATAGTTTTAATATTTATTCTTGTTAAAATCCCAGATTAGAATATTAATTAAATAATTAAAATTATGCTTCTTTCTGTTTTAAGGAGAAAATCAATATT